TGACATCAGCTATTCAGATTTTGAGAAAACAATAGAAAAAATGCTCAGTCTACTAATTATACTTCTAAAAGTTTCTTAAGCCAGTTCAAAACTAAAGAAAAATAGAAAATAATTTTAAGGACAACATTACATATAGATGATAAATTATTTCAGCCTCCAGTAGCATTGGTTCAAATCAAGTATGATCTGAGAATAATCAATGTATCCAGGTTAGTAAGTATAGTCATGGTTACATGATTAATGTTTTGAACCTACATGAATTTTTAAAATATATTCATGCAAGATCTAAGATCTGAACTTAGGAATAAAAGTATTTTGATATATATTGAAAGCTAAAGCTCCCCATTATACTAGAGTATAATAAAGATTATTACCATATAGAATTCTTTTAAAGATTAGTTCACAAAGTTCTGCAACTCCTGAAGTAGAATGTGACATGATTTTATTTTATTTTCAAGTGGACTTCTTGCTCCTTCAGCCAAACAGCTCATGTAATTCGAAGCTACTTCTGTTTAATATATACTTATTATCTGTGTAAGTATATGTGAGCTTAATACTAAAATTAACTTTTCAGATGTTGACTACTTTGCATTAAGTACGGAAATAAAAATGTCTATTGTCATCCATATGCACATTTCTAACTCTATATATGATTATATTAGGTGGTATCCACTTGGTTTCTGAAAATAAAATGCATTTTCTTCTAATAGTATGAATGTGAAAGGAGAAATTTAAATACCTAAATAAGTAATATCTTAGCGATTAGTTACTTCACTCACCATGCCAACTTCTCTTCTGCTTACCTCAGTAGTCCTCTGGCATTGTAACAGTATTATAGGAACAATGCTTTTCTGTGTGTGGTTTCCACAGTTCAGTTCAGTTCATTCTCTGTCATGTCTGACTCTTTGCGACCCCAAGGACTGCAGCATGCCAGGCCTCCCTGTCCATTACCAACTCCCAGAGTTTACCCAAATTCATGTCCATTGAGTCGGTGATGCCATCCAACCATCTCATCCTCTGTCGTCCCCTTCTCCTCCTGCCTCAATCTTTCCCAGCATCAGGGTCTTTTCATTTGAGTCAGTTCTTCACATTGGGTGGCCAAAGTATTGGAGTTTCAGATTCAACATCAGTTCTTCCAGTGAACACTCAGGACTGATCTGCTTTAGGATGGACTGGCTGGATCTCCTTGCAGTCCAAGGGACTCTCAGGAGTCTTCTCCAACACCACAGTTCAAAAGTATCAATTCTTAGGTGCTCAGCTTTCTTTATAGTCCAACTCTCACATCCATACATGACTACTGAAAAAACCATAGCCTTGGCTAAACGGACCTTTGTTGGCAATGGTTTCCTAGCCAGGTTCAATTTCATCAAAGACTTCAGCTAATATATCCAGTCTCTTCACTCTCTATGCCTCATTCCCCCTATCTACTCCCATCATTGTCAAACACAGTCTCTGAAGCACAACATGATTTCAGAGCTTCATTGAAGGAACAGTTACTGAGTGAACACAGTGGACTAGGTACATGGCATTATCAAGAGCATAATTTTGATTATCAAGATTATAATGATAGAAGTAGGCATTATCATTGATAAGATGCCTATGACTTGGTAAAGGGTGAAAAAGCAGAACAGTTAGATGAGGTACAAGCTATCTCGGAGGTCAGCAAATTAGTTTCTCTGTAACCAAGTTAGTTTCTGATGGATCTAGTACAAGTGTAGACTCTATTCCTCACAGTTTGTAGGATCTATTAATATAGGGTATCATGCAACAATCTAGGGTAGGGGAGAAATGTGACTAGTCAAACAACAAACTGATTGAAAAATAATTATTAATTGTGGATATATCCCTTTTGATTGTTACATTTTATTTGCCAAAAAGACAGATTTTCAGGCATAGGAAGTATGAAAGGCTCTAGTAAACAACAGAAGAAAGCCTACAGTTAAGTGTTAAAGGAGATGTCATAGAAGGTAGTCTACAGTATACAGATTTAGGGGTAAAAAAATAGCTGGAAAAGAGCATGAGACATAAAGAAAAAATTAAGGACAAGCTATCATGCTGGCAAAAGAAAATGAATGCTTTTCTTCCTGGATAAATTATGGTGAGCCTACATGAAGCCAGGGCAGCCAATTCATAGTGGTGTGGGGAAAGATCAGGATAGGTCAAAAGAAGCAGGGAAATTGAGTATCCCAGTGAGAATCTCCAGAAGACATAATATGAGAGAAGCTTTGAAGGGAGGTCTCCGTACATAAGTATAGATTATGTGCTAGCTGAGTCTTCTCCATAGAATGTAAGTCCCACAAAGATAGGAAATACAAGTAGGATGTTCAATGTTTAATATATAGCCCTGAGTGTAATGCCTGGCCCTTTGCAGGTACTCAAGTATTTGCTAAAATTAATGAATAAATGAATTAGGATCATCACCAGATCTAGAATTACTTAGATAATGGGATCAAGGTTTACCAGTTTTATGCATACATAAGTAAATTAACACTATTTTACATTATATTTATAAATATTTATATTCAGAACTTCTTCATCTATTCTTTAGATATTCCTATTTGGAGGTTGATGTGCACAGATGCACTATACCAACTGAATTGTACTGTCATGTGTGATTTGAATGGACCATTTCAGTCCTATTGAACCCTATAACAGAATCAGTAGGATGAGTAGTATGACATTTTGTTTTAGCTTATTATACATCAGGTAGAAGAATGTGGTGATACTGGAAATAGAATTCCAAATAATTTATGAGACTAAATAATTTTTCAGAGACTAAATATCCTGGGCCATGCTGTCAATTGTTTTATATATGAAGTGTCCTTTAGCTTATAAAATGAAATGTCAATTGGCCAGGAAAACAGAACATGCATTTTTAAAAGTCAACAGTGTAAATTGATAAACAAAGAAATATATTGAGGCATCAGTTATGTAATCTGCAATGCAAAATCTACATTACTGTTATTACTGGATGCTATAGTACCCTCAAGTGCTAACAGTTTGAGATGTCAGGTCTGTAAGGTTGTGGAAGTTAAGCTATGCACCACAGAAAAGACTACAAATATACGCTTTATCCAAACTGCAATTTTCCACACTCAACTTATTCTCTGAAACTATGAGAACTGAGCTTATCAGATAATTCATCACCATTCACAAAAGGAAGAAGAGCAGGTTTGCAGGAAGACATAAAAAATGAGTTTAGTTTTGGGCATGTAAATCGTATGTACCTGTGGAATATCTATGTACAGAGATCTTGTGCAAAAATTCTAGTACTGATTTCCTCAGCCTTTGGGGATTACTGTCTCAGCCATGATCAGTTTTATCCATTCACCAGTGTGTTACACAGATATGATCATTCTAGTGTGTTGCTGTTGTTTAGTTACTAAGTCATGTCTGACTCTTTTGCGACCCCATGGACTGTAGCCCACCAGCTTCCTCTATCCATGGGATTTCCTACACAAGAATATTGAAGTGGGTTGTCATTTCCTTCTCTAGGGGCTCTTTCTGATCCAGGGATCAAACCCGCATCTCCTGCTTTGGCAGGTGGATTCTTTACCACTGAGTTACCAGGGAAGCCCAATGTGCACCATGACCTAAATATATTTGAAAAGCACAGGTCCAGTGGGAAACTGGATCCATTAGTTTAGAACTCATGATATGATGTCTGGATTAGTGATTTTGGTGTGTTGACATCACAGAGGTGCTAGTAAAAACCAAAGAGAGTTGAAGTAACTAGAACCAGACTTTCTTTCCTGTGGTAACAATTAGAATCTGGGACACAATATATGAAATAGCTCTTTGTAGTACTTGAACAATACACAGTATAGAACCCTGAAACAGGGGGAAAAGCAAGATAAGCCTTATCATTACCAGTTTGCTACCTGAAAACATTTTCTGGATGGTAGCATGGGGAGTGAGAGCTCAAGCTGAGTATGGACGTCTTGCTCAGTTGAAGAGACAAAGATCAGAGGTCAGAAAGGCGAGTAAACTAGAAGGTCAAAGTAAACTTTGCAGGTCAGAGTACCAGAGAAGAGGGATTTATGTAGAAAAAGAACTGAAAAACCCTTAGCTGTGGGTCCACTTGAGTCTGTCACTGAATACAAAACCACAAGTGCCTAGGATGAAAATCCATGAGGCCAGACAAAGAAATGTCAAGAAGCTTTATTCTGAAGAATACCCAGAACTCACACAGAGCTGGCAACTGTTTAAGTTTCAACTACTAAAAATGAAGAGACAAAAGAAATTGGACCTTAGCTGTAAGGCTAAACTAGCCAGGAAAGAATACTTTATATCGGTCCTAATAAGATTAAAAATAATCCTCAAATGAAGCAAGCTGATACACAAATAACTGACTACAAAATAAAATTCAACACACTAAAAAAGAAATCACCAAAACTGCAACACTCAAGTCACGATGTACAGAATGTAACAAAATTTACCAGACTTATGTAAAAAAAAAGAAAAATATGATCCATAACTAGGATAAAAATCTAATTATGAGGAAAACATGTAGAAGAAGTGAAGGGGGGCAAAGATAGAAGGCTGGGAAATACCCAGACAAGATTTAAAAGATAAGAAGAAAAAGGACCTGACAAAAGTCACTTGAAAGGAATAATACATGATGTTAGAAGAATTAAGAGACTGTTGAATCATAAAAGTCATATAGAGATAAAGTTTCAAAAGGAGGGAGTGGTCAATAAGGATATCAAGTAAGATAGAAACTGAAAAGAGTTCATTGAATTTCACAAGAATATACCTACTATGCCTGACCAGAGTAGTTCCCATGGAGAGGTTGGGGTAGAATCCAGATTTGAGAAGGAGAGATGCTAATCATTGTTTCAAGGAAAGGTGTCTCAGATTCAGCATAGGCAAGTAAGTGTACATTTTATATTTAAAAATATATTCTACAACATTTATCAATGTCTCCTTTCTCTTATAGTCACGTTTCTTTCTAAGATACAAACAACTCCCCAAAAGAATTATGAAATTAAAATTGTTACCAAAAAAGGCATTCAGCAGCTTCTGAACCTGAATATTGCTGCCCACGGTACGGTACAATCCCTCTGTCTTGATTCCTAGAGAAAGAAAACCAGGTCAGTTTTATTAATACAGCTAGAACTTTCATCTCCCTTAAGGTAGAGAAAGTGGGTACTTACACAGTGGACTCAGTTCAAACAAGAAAGGATCTCCCTACTGTCTCCAATCTCTCCAGCCCTCCTCTACAATAGGGGAACAGTCCTGAAACATCTCTGCAAATTATTCTTTCCATACTTTCATTTGGATTGTACCAAGCCCTCAATAACATGACTAGAAAAGAACACATTCTATAGTAAATAGAAAAAAAAATGCTTATGTGAGCAGCAGTGGATAACAGAGAACAGTGTCATCATTTTGGAAAGAAGCTTGGGTTTAGTTGCAAAAGGAGGAGATATCAACCTTCAAGTTGTCCCTGAGCAGGGATATGAAGTAAGAGAGAGCTACAGTATGGCAGGTGTGAAGCAAATAAACATTTTGTGTACTGATAAAGATTGAAGCAACATTTCCGGGGGCGGGGGGGGGGCGGGGAGAGCCCTGGTTTATACACTACTCCTGCCTATGTTCAAAATATTCTCAGAAATAAGAAAGTATCACCAACCTGGAAAAATATTAATGCCACATTTTCTGGATTTTAACTTTGCCCTCAACAATTTTTAAATCAATATGTTTTGTGGCAGAAACTGAACTCTTATTTATTTAGGGTGGAACTATCATAACACTGTTTGAAATGTGCCAGATAGTATTTTAAAATATTTTATATGACATTTGAAGTTCTTTATCACTAAAAGCAGGAAACCACAAATTATTCATATTTGGTTCTAAGTGTTGCTTCTTTACCAGCATACAGTTTTCTCAGAAGAAAGGTAAGGTGGTCTGGTATTCCCATCTTTTTAAGAATTCTCCACAGTTTGTTGGGATCCACACAGTCAAAGGCTTTAGCATAGTCAATGAAACAGAAGTAAACGTGTTTTTGGAACTCCTTTGCTTTTTCCATAATCCTAAGAATGTTGGCAATTTGATTTCTGGTTCCTCTGCCTCTTTGAAACCCAGCTTGTACATCTGGAAGCTCAGTTCACACACTGTTAAAGCCTAGCTTGAAGGATTTTGAGTACAAACTTATCTGCATGTGAAATGAACACGACTGTACAGTAGTTTGAACATTCTTTGGCACTGCCCTTCTCTGGGATTGGAATAAAAACTGACCTTTTCCAGTCCTGTGGCCATGGCTGAATTTTCCAAATTTGCTGACTTATTGAGTGCAACACTTTAAGCATCCTCTTTTAGGATTTTAAATATCTCAGCTGGCAGTCTGTCCCCTCCACTAGCTTTGTTTGTAGTAATGCTTCCTAAGCTGCACTTGACTTCAAACTCCAGGATGTCTGGTTCTAGATGAGTGACCACAAGCCATGGTGGTTATCTGGGTCATTAAGACCTTTCTTGTATAGTTCTGTGTATTCTTGCCACCTCTTCTTAATATCTTCTGCTTCTGTTACGTCCTTACTGTTTCTGTCCTTTATCATGCCAGTCCTTGCATGAAATGTTCCCATGATATCTTCAATGTTCTTGAAGAGATCTCCAGCATTTCCCATTGTATTGTTCTCCTCTATGTCTTTGCATTGTTGGTTTAAGTAGGACTTCTTTTCTCTTTTTGCCATCCTCTGGAACTCTGCTTTCTGTTTGGTATGTCTTTCCCTTTCTCCCCTGTCTTTGCTTTTCTTCATTCCTCAGCTATTTGTAATGCTTCCTCAGACAACCACATGGCCTCCTTGTATTTCTTTTTCTTTGGAATAGCTTTGGTCACTGCCTCCTAGACAATGTTACAAACCTCCATATATAGTTCCTTAGACATTCTGTCTCCCAAATCTAATCCCTTGAATACATTCAACACAGATGTATAATCATTAGGGATTTGATTTAGGTCATACCTAATGGCCTAGTGGTTTTCCCTACTTTCTTCAAGTTAAGCCTGAATTTTGTAATAAGGAGCTCATGATCTGAGCCACAGTCAGCTCCAGGTTTTATTTTTGCTGACTGTATAGAGCTTCTCCATCTTTGGCTGCAAAGAATATAATCAATCTGAGTTTGGTATTGACCATTGAGTGATGTCCATGTGTAGAATTGTCTCTTGGGTTGTTGAAAAGGGTGTTTGCCATAACCAGCATGTTCTCTTGTCAAAACTCTGTTAGCTTTGCCCTGCTTCATTTTTTACTCCAAGGCCAAACTCGCCAGTTATTCTGGGTATCTATTGATTTCCTACTTTTGCATTCCAATCCCCTATGATGGAAAGGACATCTTTTTTGGTGTTAGTTTTAGAAGGTCTTGTAAGTTTTCATAGAACTGTTCAACTTCAGCTTTTCTAACACTAGTTGTTGGGGTATAGACAGATTACTGTGAAGTTGAATGGTTTGCCTTGAAAATGAACTGTTTGTGCCCTTTTTGAGGTTGCACCCAAATACTTCATTTTGGACTCCTTTGTTGACTATGAGTTCTATTCCATTTCTTCTAAGGGATTCTTGCCCACAGTAGTAGATATTATACACACACACACACACACACACATACACACACACACACACACACACACACACACACACACACACACACACATATATATATATATATATATATATATAATGGTTATCTGAATTAAATTCACCCATTCTTGTCCACTTTAGTTCAATGATTCCTAAAATTTTGATGTTCACGCTCTCCATCTCCTGCTTGACCATGTCCAATTTGCCTTCATTCATGGACCTAACATTTCAGGTTCCTATACAATATTGTTCTTTACAACATTGGACTTTACTTTCACCACCATCTATAACTGAGCATCATTTCCACTTTGGCCCAGCTGCTTCATTCTTTCTAAAATATTAGTAATTGCCCTCAGATCTTCTGCAGTAGCACATTGGACATCTTTTAACCTGGGGGACTCATCTTCCAGTTCCACATGTTTTTGTCTTTTCATACTGTCCATGGGGTTCTCCATGCAAGTATACTGACACGGTTTGCCATTTCCTCCTCCAATGGGTCACTGGAGATTTTTGTTTTGTTAGAACTCTTCACTATGACCCATCTATCTTGGATGGCCCTGCATGGTATGACTCATAGCTTTATTGAGTTATTCAAGCCTCTTTGCCATGACAAGGCTGTGATCCTAATATTGCACATCAACTATACGTCAATAAAAATTAAATAAATTTTAAAAATCATTAAAAAAGAATAATCAGATTCAAACAATGCCAAGGCTATGGTTCATATCTTACCTTTGGTCTCAATTATATTGATGCACTTCCTAACAAACTTGAACCCCACTTCATTCAGTTCCACTGTTTCAAGCAAAAGAAAACAGAGTTAGATCCTGCTGCAATAAGCCTCACCTAACAAACCTTCAGGGATATGGTTAAGAGACTACAGTGAGAGAATTAGGGGTTTGGTCTCTCTCCTTCAGTCACCTTTAAATGGAAAAACTCTTCATTTGGCGGAGAGACATGGCTAAAGTTTTTCCTCTTATAACAAAAAATGTTTTTACTTGACCCTTTTTGTATTATATCTGCTTGAGGCATGAGCTACAGCAAATGTGAAAAATTAGGCTGGAAATGCCTAATTTCTATTGTGTGTCTAGAACAAGAAGAATATAATTAGTGTTTCTCTATATTACTACAACTACCCCACCAATAAGCTAAGATAAAGTGACTTCCTTAGTTCAATTAAAAGACACCTTCTTAAAAAACAGGTCTGAATTTCATTTCACACAAAGGTATCCATAAATACATTTGCATCAATATTACAAATAATTGATGATAACATTTACTGTGATTAGGATAGCTAACAGTTTATAATACCAGTAGATCAGAAATCTGACTTACTTTCTTCCTGTTTTGTTATAGGGCTGTGGTAGATCTACAAAAAAAAAAGAGACAGAAAGAGCCACGGATATTGTGAATCACTATAGGTAAGTACAGCAAATACTAAATATCTTTCCTCAAATAAGCCATAAAAAGCATTAGTGACTTTAAAAGTTTAACAAGTAATAAAATGGGCTAAACAGAATCATCTTTGCCTAGGTCACTAGAAACAGTAGGATTAATAATCCCTGAAGATTACATTGGATTTCACACAGCTCACTGCAGTGGTAGCCTACCCATCTTAGACATTTACTTATGTAAAACTTAAAGAATTTTCCTGATGGAGCAAGAGAGTATGACAGAAAGGAAGTGGCTTTCTCCAGGTTATTGGCAGAAGAAAGCAGAGTTAGATCTTGCTGTAATAAGCCTCACCAAACAAACCTTCAATGATCTGGGTAAGAGACTGCAGTGTTGAATAGCTGATGGTAAAATTTAAATATTACAATACCAATCTCCTTACCCAAAGGTGTTAGTGGGTATTTTCTACCCAGATGGGTAGAAAAACAAGTGCCCATCTGAAAGAGAGCCATGTATTCACCAAACTTTCTCTGAGTCATCTTAAAGTATGCATTGTGATAGCCATGTGAGAAACAAGAGGAGATCCTTGACTCTTGAAGCCTAGTCTTGGCTTTATGGCTACCTCATTATGAAACTTAGGCATGTCCCATTCATTCTCTAGACTTCAAAATTCATATCCCTAAAATGATCAGTGTTGCAGTAGATGTTCCTTCAAGAACTGATCTTCTTACTATGTATAATATTAGTGAATTGGAGAGGGGGGTTGTTAATAGAGCAGAAGCAACATTAGTAATGCAGGAAATAAGTCCTCTACATGCCATCTGTATAATCTGCTTTAACAATCTCTCTTTTTAAAATAAAATTTTCTGCCTATATGTGTATGCCCATGGATAGGTCAGTGAGACAGGTCAAGTTGATAAGGATCCACATTCAGAGGGCCCATGTGCTAACATCATTCTTCACAAAAAGGCATCGGCACCTTTTGATTTTTAAAACTTTAAAGGGAGAAAAAACTCAGGAGAGGGAATTAAGAGTAAAATGACTTACAACATTGTAAGTTAACTATATTTTTATTAAAAAATAAGAAATAAATATGAACAACAACAAAAAAGAATAAAATGTCTTGCTGGGCTTGCTAGTATCCTGCTAGAAAAATATCACAGGCATGTAACAGTTAAGCTCCAAGTTTCTGTGAGAGAAGGGAACAGAGAAAGGCCCTGGCCTATTTTCTGGATGACAGTCCTTACAACACCACTTCTCTCCTGCTATCTTATTGGTTGCTATACATGTAATCTTATAGCTGGGCCTTCCTCACTAGTCTTCAAGGCACTAGAAACACACAGAAAGAAATCCCTGTAATATATTCTCCATTTTAGCAAGTTTTTGCCTTGCATAAAGCAAGAAGATTAGATTGTACCCAAATACTACTGAATTTCAGTAGCTTTGCACCAAGCCTTCAGACCAGTGAGAAGAACTTCAAACTGACATAGCATATTATGGTTGACAAACTGGCTTTCAATTTATTTCTTTCAAAGCAACTCTGTGAGATAGGTAGAACAGAAATTATTAAAACCATTTTATTGAAGAGAAGAATCTCAGAAAAATTAAATAAGTAGCTCAAGGTCACACAATCATTGAATAGCAGAACCAAACCCAAATGTAAGCTTTAGGGATTCCAAAACTAAGAAGCTGACATTACGTCATATACCATAAGAAGAAACCTACACAGAAGATACTGGAGAAGAAAAATGCTTTTTGATGACCAGACTGTTCACATTGGTCTTTTTATGATAATTGTTAGCCCTGTAAAAGTATTGCTTGTAATCCTATGTAACAGTGTTCTAAATGGAATGGTGCATTTTGGGATATAGGATGGCAATGCCATCTCCTGCCCTTAAAGAGAATAAGTTGACTTAGGAATGTAAGGGAGAGGCAGTAAAACCATTCTGAATAAAATCTTAATAAATGCTTGTTCACAGTCATGAAAATTATTTTTCATCCTTATATATGAACACATATTAATGCTATAAACTACAAAAAAGGCTTAATTTTCTTTCTTAAGAAAACCTTGTGGGCATAGCTGAATAAGAAGAAAGAAGCTGAGAGACCTAGTTTCTAGGTCAATTTCGATGCCTTTCTGATGCTAATTCTAGAGAAGTCTTTACCATCTCTGAAACTCAAGTTGCCTAACTTGTTAAACAAGAAATGTTATTCAGCATTTTCTTCTAACTCTAAACTTTTGAGTATGAATTATCTATCACCATTTAATTGTCCTGGACTCACTGCTACCACTAGAGCACACTCATATACTGGCCTATGTTACTGAAGTTTCCCCAGGGTAACTTACAGGTTCTTTCCCATCCATAGCCTCCATCCATAGTCTTCTGTTAGCTTCTGAAAGAGCTTGCAGAGTGATGGTTCCTGGTCTAAGGAATAAATGACAAGTTGAGAGCAGAAAAGTTAACTGAAAGAGTGGAGTCTTATAATCTAGGGTTCCTCTCAGCCCTGGGAGTTATGACACTGAGCAGACACAGGAATATAGATTTCCAATTTTTCAAAATCTTTTTATACTCAGAAAAACAATGGAATTTAGAGAACAGTAACTTTGGAAACATTGGTGGAGGTAGTATCTTGGTGGCTTAATGCCATGGTCAGGCAAGGAAATATGAAGGCAGATGCTGACACCTCACCATAATACAGACTTAAATTGACCCCACTGTGTGCTTAAAACAAACTGAAGCTCTCCCTGCCTCTCGTTCTTAGAAACTAGTCATTTGGTCTGAGTTCAAGCGGTTCTGAGCATCTTAACTGTAAGTACATATACCAGGAAAATGGCTTTGCTACTTCTACCACCTAGGATGTCCAAGGTGCATTTCGGTTGGAAAGAAGTCAACAACATGCACAGGGAGGCCTTCTGGCTGATTTAAGCAATCTTATAAATAATGACAACAACTACTAGTTACTGAATGCTCAGTAAGTGCCATAGTACTATAAGCACTTTATAAGTATTGATTCACTTAATCTACACAAGAAGCCTATAAAGCAGGGACTATAGAAATCCCTATTTTACAGAAGGGGAAACTGAGGCACAGAGAGGTTACCTGAGTCTGTGGTAAGTGTAGAGCCAGGGTGTTGATTTAGGAATTTTAGTCCAGCAGCCATGTTCTTTCTTAGTTAATACATTATAAGGCCTCTTCTTCATGACATACAACTTGAAATCCAATTTTATTTTATTTATTTGCAGTAACTGCAACTATATACCCAGATATATCCCAATTTGGTATACACTGTTCTTCTCAGACCTTCAAAACCATACTGGAATTTGGGGATTAATCATATTACTTGCAGGCATAAGGTCTCTCCCACTCTCTGCCTAGTTGTGCCACTAGAGATATTTGTTCCTCTTACTTCTTCCATGTTAAGATGAGACCTCTCTGAGTCATTAAATATAACAGAGTAATGACAAGAGAGTTCAGTGGGAAAGTCACTGCCTCAATTTCTTTAGCCATAAAAAATTTGAATCTGACGAATTGGTAGGTCCTTTTTAGTTCTGATACCATGGGATTCCTATCCTACCTGTCCTTCTGTCTCTTACTACATTAAAGTACTCCTTAATAAATAAAGCCCCCAAATGATCTTTAAGCCAGAATCAATTGAAAACTAGGACTTGGCTTTCAGTACTGGACTCTTTCAAGTTTACCTTTCTCTAAGAAATATCCAACATTTTAGACATATCTTATGGGGCTAGAAAGTCTACAAATCTCTATAAAAATAATTACCCAGCTGGATCCTGACGCTAGAAAGAAGGAAAGCAACAAAATGGGCAAAAAACATAAAGCAGATGCTGTAGACTAGATATGAAGTTAAACCTATTACAGACACAGTTTTCCTGTTTAGGAAATCAGAAAGCTGGTATGTAACCTCTCTTGATCATACAGAGAAGCTGAAAGAATAAATAAGTGACTATTCAGGAAGCATTTGGAGATTCCTGGGTGCTACTAAAAGTCAAATCCAAAGAACAATATTGTTAAGAACAAAATGACAAAGTAGAAAGAGTACTGACTTCTAGGCCAGGCTTCTCCATCATGATTTTAGACAAATCCTGTGCCCACCCTGAGGTCTCAGTCACTCCTCTAAAACAGAAAGGCATAAATAACATATTTGTAGTAGAGTTCAGTGGTTAAGAATGTGAGCTTGGAAATTAGTATGCCTGGATTTGGATCCTAGCTCTAACATGTACTAGTTTGTCTAATCTAAGTGCTTAACTTCTCTCTGTCTCCTTATCTTTGTGAGATTGGGATAGAAACACCGCCCACTTCATGTGACTGTGATGAAGACTAAAGGAAATTATACACTTAAAATGAGGTGAAATAAGTCAGAAAGAGAAACACCAATACAGTATATTAATGCATATATATGGAATTTAGAAAGACGGTGATGACAACCCCATATGGAAGACAGCAAAAGAGACACAAATGTAAAGAACCCTCACAGAGAAGGCGAGGGTGGGATGATTTGAGAGAATAGCATTGAAACATGTATATTACCATATGTAAAATAGATGACCAGTGCAGGTTTGACGCATGAAGCAGGGCACTCAAAGCTGGTGCTCTGGGATAACCAAGAAGGATCGGGTGGGGAGGGAGGTAGGAGGGGGGTTCAGGATGGGGGGACACATGTACACCCTGGCTGATTCATGTTGATGTATGGCAAAAACCACCACAATATTGTAAAGCAATTAGACTCCAATTAAAATAAATAATTAAAAAAGCAAAGGAAAACAATAAAGGCTGAGAATGGTGCCTAGCACATAGAGGTACTCAGTGAATGTTAGCAGTTGTTGCTGTCATGGTCATCATCAGTTATTATTATTATTACTATAATTATTGTCCATCAAGTTTTGATGGGCTATGAGACTGCAGCTCCAAATATTACTAGGGACAATAATAAAAAAAAAAATCCTCTATTCCAGAAATAGAAAAAGGGATTCAAAGAGTTATCTGTTCAATTCAGCAGGGAACATGAGTACAAATGCTTGATGTCTACTGAGAGGCCTGCCTCTGCCCTTTATATCAGACTGACCTGCCAGGAAAGCAGATGCAGATGTCATTTTACTCAGAAAACTCCACATGCACAGAGGCACCTCAGCCTCTGTGCATTATTATATTTGACCCTCTATTTCACAACATATTTATTCTGCTTATTTTTTTCCATTTATTTTTATTAGTTGGAGGCTAATTACTTTACAATATTGTAGTGGTTTTTGCCATATGTTGACATGAAGAAGCCATGGATTTACATGTATTCCCTTATAATAGACAATGGAATAAAATTTAAAAGAACATGGGGTTTGGAGACCTACAAACCAGAGTTTGAGCTCAACATTGCCACTATGTAACTTTGATTAGGCAAGGCAGTTAAACACATACAAGTCCCAGTCTCCTCACCTGTAAAATAAGGGTGGAGTTCAGTGCAGGAATATTTTTTAAATGCCCAATATGTGGTAAGTAAAATCACAGCTATATCAAAACTTTAATCCTGGGTTCTAGTCTAAGAATTCCCCAGTATTCTTGGGTAGGGAAAAAAATTTAAAAATGAATACCAGATTCAGTATCTACCATGAGCCATACATAGCACTAGATGCAATATAGATAGATAGATAGATAGATAGATAGATCCTTATAAATATATATTGATCCTTGCCCTTAACCTCAGGGCCAAACTGTTTGCAAATGCTTTGAGTCTATGAGAATAATACTTGCAAGTGGCTTGCAAATTTAAGCTGAAAAGTGAATCAGAATGGAATTAGACACAGAAAAATTTAACTTTAAGTACATTAATTGAGCAGACCCAAAGACACTGAAGCTTCATAAAAAGGAAGCCACAGCCAACAGTTGCTTTCCCCTTCCTACTGAGCTCAAAGTTGTGGGGTGGAAATGAGTGACAATCTCATGATTATCACTAACACTGTTTACTAATACAGCCATCTTTGATTGGGACCATCCATTCTGAACAAAGAAAGCATATAGATTCACAAACATAAACTGAAAATGGGAAAGAGAACTAATAGCTACTTATTCCAAGACAAAAAAATGCCTTATTTTCTTAATCTGATCTATATGATTCTAGTTACTAATAGTTTTGCTCATATGATATTGTAATTCAACCAAGTTCCTTTCTAGCAATCTGATCTTTTGTTAAATTCTATTATAATACTTAATGCCTAATATATAGGAATAATGGATGGAAATAAAATATAGAAACACATTTACTCACTAAATTCTGGACCAACTTCCCAACTACATAACATGTCTTTTTCCAAAGTAATTCCAAATGCTCTTATTTTAAAATTTAAAAGTAAAAGTTAAAACTCCCTACCAATAAATTGTCCAGGTTGAAAAGACAAAAAGAGAGAATTAGATAGGAACAAATGCAACGGAGTCCAAAGATTGCAAGCTTGCTGAAATCAGAAAGTTGATAATTAAACTATTTACATTTTATGTAAATATCTGAAAGGTAGGAAAAGTCCACATCATTTGCACCAAATGGGGGAAAAAAGAATCCCCAATACTACCACCACCCTCCATCCAATATATGTCCCCTTAAATATGTGTTTCAAGTAATTTGTTCTTGTATATTGAGATAAAAAAGAATGAGTTTTGTTACCCTGTTCTTTTGCAGCATCACCAAATACTGACCTTTTGCATATATCATAGCAAATTAAACCCTAGGAGTAACTTCTGCCTACAGCAAATAAGACAAAGATGACTGAACCTTGAATAGACAGAACCAGCTCTGGTCCAGGGATCCCTGGGAGGCGCAGCCAAAAGAGCCAAGACAATGGTGTCATGAACAGTTTTGCTCATTTTTATCAAAAAGAAATGACAGATGAAAATAGAATACCTACCCAGGCTCAGAAACTGGCACATGGGATGCTGCCAGTTCACATCCTTACCTTTCATTTGTTTCTATATCGAAACAGAATCTCTTATCGATAGACTCTGTCTTCCTTCTCACACAGTACTTCAGCGTTAAGTCCAAGGGCCCCTGAAATAATAGAAGGAGTAATAGCTAGTTTGTAAAAAATACACAGAAGCTTCTTCTGCTTACTGTTGTGTCCTTAATGTCACTTGGAAGGCATCTGTTACAGCAGCAGGAACAATGTTTAGCCTCACTGAGGACCTTGTCCCCTCAAAAGGTAGTTGCAGCAAGGTGGCAGATGGTTTTTCTCTGTCCTAAAAATCAATGACTGAGTTCAGAAGAAACTGCTCAGGATAAACCAGTGTTCTTTTCCTAGTATGGAATATTAAATAGGAAACTCATAAGGGGGATGTAGGAGAAATGGGGTGCACAAATGGTATTAAGTATACAAAATAAAATTCCATGAGACTTCTAGATAGGGAGATTGCACTGGGTAACTGATTTTCTGCAATGTCCCTTCCATTACAGTAGCAGATAGAAGATAGGAGGAAAAACATTTTTGGTTCCCCACTTCCAGAACTTTAAATATGATGGGAATTACAAAAGCAGTCTCTCCAAAGATAAGGCAGGAGTAAGGAAAATAAGGATATTTCTGTGATAGTCAAGGTGGAATTTGGTATTTCATGTGTGCAGGACAATGTGTCCCACATTAGTCTTGTGGGCACTTAACAAGGCCATAGGAATCCATTGAGTTCACAGGTTGAGTGTGTGTTAAGTTGTTTCAGTCATGTTCAACTCTTTGCCATCCCATGGACTATAGCCTGCCATGCTCCTCTGTCCATGGGATTCTCCAGGCAAGAATACTGGAGTGGGTTGCCATGTCCTCCAGGGGACCTTCCTGACCCAAGGATCGAACCTGTGTTCCCTGTGGCTTCTGCACTGCAGGCAGATTATTTACTACTGAGCCACAAGGGAAGCCCGTGTTCACAGAGTAAAATTCCTCAAATCCCACCTAGTTCAGTTTACAACAGAGGCAATGTGGTATAGAAAAGAGAAGTAACATTTATTGATTACTAATACATGCCACGTATTACGCTAGGTATTTTTAAACCACTTTTCTTCATAATAGCCCTCAGAGGGAAGTGACGCTCAGAGAGGTAAAATGGCTCACCCAAAGTCACCCAAGTCAGTATAATAGAAATATCAATAAACTAAGAAGTTTAAAAGCTGGGGTCTTGTCTCAGTTATGACTTTTACTAAGTATGTGGCCCAAGGTAAATAATTTTTCCTCTCTCAATATAAACCTCATAATCTATTAAATGGGAATAATACTACCAACCTTGCTGTCTCGAATTCAGAAACACTGAATTTGTGTTTCTGCCCAAAGTGCCAGGTCTGTACCTAAGCACTATACTGTCCTAACTGGCCCATACAGGTGATCATCAAATAAATTCCCTTTCACTGTCACACTCAAGCCCTTTGCATGTCTATCCTTTTTCTTGCTCCTGCACTATAGAAACAAAGTTCTATATTCATCTTTTAATTTGTCTTCTAAAATTCCAACACTTGGGATATCAGGCATTCTCAGCCTTGCAAGATAACAGTAATTAACTGCATCATGTGCTCACATTCCCTTTTAAACTCTCAACTCCATTAGATTTGGTAAGATGACATCACATCAACATCCTGCCCACCACTCCAGGTTCACTTTCAGCCACCCTCATCTAATTTATGATGTCCCATAAGTGTAAAAGTACTATTTCACACATGTATCATCCTCTTTCATGATTCCAACTTCGCATATATTGTTTCCTCCACCAAAAATGACTTTATCTATAGTCTTTGACTGACAAACTCTTACTTGTGCTACAACCTGCAGTTCAGCTTTCATTTCCTCAAAAATCTTTCCCCAGTATATATACTGTCTACTTTGTGTTTTCTGCATTGTATTAAAACCTCTCTTTTTCACATCTGATTCCTCCACTTGACTAAGAACTCAAGGATGTGGGCAGTGTCTTATTTATCTTTATATCTCTAGCACCTAGTAAAAAGTTAGTGTTCAATAAATATTTATAAACTATACTATCATCCTTGCCATTTTTTCTGATGATAAAAATGATAGTGAGCAACCATAACTGATTTACTCAAGATCACAATTTATTAGGCCTTGCAACTAGGATTTAAGACTAGTTCTTGAAACAAGAGTGTCCAAGATGGTGGAGTAGGAAGAACCTGACCTAACCTCCTCCCATGGGCCCACCAAACTTACTGAGACAGACAGACCTCAGACCCTTTACTGCAGTGTTGCAATGCTTGCACCTGGCCACACCACTCTTCCAGCAACAAAATACAAAAAATATTGTATGGGACTAAAAATAACTGCATGCATGCCCAGTTGGGACAAATTATGGACAAAAGATACAAAGAGACCAAAAAAACCTGCCACTTTTTAAGAGCCTGGAGAAAAAGCAGGGGGATGGGAGCAAAAGCAAAGTATTGTGCATGCCCCCTACACACACCACCACCTATGATGTGGTCAAAACACCTAAGCTACCCCTTTGCTCCGACCCATGGACACATTTCTATCCTCACCCCTATAAGGAACAATCTTGCCCTGCTTTAGGAGGCGATCAAGTAAGGGAACCTGTTGCCTGTTCTTGCTGCCGCTACTGCATCAGGGGCCAAAATAAAGCCTTCCTTGAACTTCTTGTCTGGCCTGTAGTCAATTTCTATTGATTGGGGAAGGTCAAGAACCCTGTTCGGTAATATTACAACTATTTTACAGAGCAACAATCAATGGTGAGAATGACCTGAAGTCTAGCACAAAAGATCTACAACTACAGATATGTGGAAAGAATCACAACTAGACAGGTAGGAGGGGCACATGCATGATATAGTCAAGGCCTACACCCCTAAACAGGTGACCCACAAATAAGAGGATAGTTACAATCGTAGAGTTTATCCCCAAGGAGCAAGGGGTTTGATCCCCATATTAGATTCCTAGTCAAGGGGTCCTGAACCAAGAAGACAAGGCCTCAGAACATCTGGCTTTGAAAGCCAGCAGGGCTTGCTTTAAGGAGAGCCAGAGGTGTACAGGAAAGAGGTATTCTATTCTTAAAGGTTGCACACAAATCTCACATGCTTTGAGAACCAGGACAAAAGCAAGGTGGAAGATGCCTGGGTCATATTGACCTGCTGATAGTAGAGAGCCATACAGAGAGACAGGAGACAAGTGGAACTCACCCTGGGGACATAGAAGCTGGAGGCAACCATTTTGAGGTTGTAATTCTACCATGAGGAAAAAGATGCTAGAAAGCACCATTTTGGAGTACTCCCTGTAGCTCATTAATGTTGGACATGGCCCTATCCACCAGCCAGTTGGCACGAGCCCTAGGAGCCATACAGGGATATAGCTGTATCCACCAGCAGGCTAGAGGCAGCAATAGGTCCCCTTGGACTACCCAGAAACTCCAGGACCCAGCCCCACCCAACAGTAAGCTAGCATGAGTTCCAGGAACTCGTTTACTCTGCAGCAGACAGGTAACGGTCCTAGAACATATTGGGCCCCAACACTGCCCACTAATGTGCTGAAACCAGTTTTGAGATACATCATGTCCTACAACCAGCTTACCCAAGATGCAGACCCACCAAACAGGCTGATACAAGCCCCAGGCCCCAGCTTGATCCAGCAGCAGCCTGACAACCATTCTGGGACACTTCCTTTAGCCCTCCCAAGAAGCTAACCAGTGCCCAGCCAAGCCCACCAGTGGGCCAGGACCAGGACACAGCCTAAACTATCAAGGGGCAATAACCAGTACCAGGGCTCCTTGGGCACCACCACCAACTGCAATAGAACTCAGACTGGCCCATCAGCAGGCAGCAGTTTCAGCAGTAGGTAAACAATCACGTGGAGGGGTCAGTCCATGCTCACCAGTGTGCCCACAACAGTAGGCCCCAACAAAAGAGGGGCATACTTTTATATACAAAACATTCTATTCAAAAGCTTGCTGCAGAATATACATTCTTTTCAAATATACATGAGCCATTTTCAAGGATAGATCACAAGCTAAGGCACAAAACAAGTGTCAGTAAATTGAAGGAGATAGAAATCACACTAAGTATCTTTTCTAATCATGACATTATAACTAGAAATCAACTATAAGAAAAAAAACTGCAAAAAACTTAAACATATAGAGGATAAACAGTTGAACAACCAAAAGGATCACTGAAGAAATCAAAGAGGAAATCAAAAATATCTAGAGACAAATGAAAATGAAAACACAACAATCCAAGTTTTATGGAATGCAGCAAAAGCAATTCAAAAATGGAATGCTACAGCAATATAAGCCTAACTCATAAAATGAGAAAAATCCCAAACAAACTAATCTTACACATAAAGTAACAAGAGAAAGAATAAACAAAAGCCAGTCACTACAAAAAAAAAGAAATAATAAGCTAGAGCAGAAATAAATGAAATATAGATAAAAATTAACAAAAAACATAAAAGATTGATGAAACTAAGAGCTAGTTGAAAACATAAACACTTAAAAATCTTAGCATCACCAGCAAAGCTCATTAACAATTCCTGGGAAACAACAGTAGCATCTGAGTAGTAAAATAAAGTCTAACCTTTTGTTTTTCAAAAAAAAAAAACATAAACAAAATTGATAAATATTTCCTCAGAGTCATCAAGAAAAAAAAGAGGGCCCAAATCAATAAAATCAGAAATAAAAAAGGAGAAATTACAACAAACAACACAGAAGTATATCGGGTCATAAGAGATTACTATAACCACTCACATACCAAGAAAATGGACGACCTAGGAGAAATGCCTATGGATAAATGTACAATCTTCCAAAATGGAATAAAAAAAGAAACAGATATGCAAACAGACCAACTACCAGTAATGAAACTGAATCAGTAATTTAAAAAAAATAAACAACAAAAAATCCCAACATACAAAAGTTCATGACCAGATGGCTCCACAGGTGAATTACATCAATCATTTAAAGAAGACTAACACCTATTCTTTTCCAACCATTTCAAAAAATTCAGTGGTAATATATTTCTAAACTTATTCAAAAAGGCCAAAACCAGATAAAGATACTACAAAAACAGAAAATTAC